TGTGTGTGTATGTTTGTGTGTGTGTGTGTGTGTGTGTGTGTGTATGTGTGTGTGTGTGCGTGTGTATGTGTGTATGTACAATAAACATAAACATACACATATAAATATAAACATATAAATATAAACATACGTATATGTATATGTATATGAATATGTATATGTATATGTATATGTATATGTATATGTATATGCATATGTATATGTATATGTATATGTATATGCATAATATACATATATATATATATATATATATATATATATATTGTCATTATCCCGTCGTAGACTTCAGAGTATAACAGTAACTGATGCTAGATTAAATTACACGTATCAGCTTTCTATACGTTAAAATTACTAAAACGATACTTACCTGTACTGATCCAAAATCAAGAGATAAGTTCGCTTCTGAAGATTCGTTATTTGGTTTATTGAGACCTGATGAGTGTTCCATTGACTCCGTTGTATTCCTCCCGAGATTCCCGCCTGCCCTCATGATGTTGTGTATGCAAAGATGTCTAGTATTCCTTAACAATGATATTCTCAATAGGATTCCACTTGCCGTCCAGTGTAATAAATGACGCTGATTTAGTCTGCGTGCTACGTGAAGTATGCTAAAAAAAAATACAATGACGGCATGTGACAGTTGACCTGTCATATATTTGGTCTGGAAAAAAAAAGCTAATAGCTCATGTCAGGCTCAGGCAGTCAGGCACCCAGGCGCCCGACCCGGGACTTCGTGGAGTCATGTTTGATGTTAGTGATGGACATTCTAGTTGGTATGAACGAACATTTACTCATTATTCACATATTTACTCATGAATTCAACTCTCTATCTCACAAGTACATAGTACTATTTATTATGAGTATAAAAATTAATGTCTACTATAAAGTCACCAATCACCACATTGATGAATGTGATCGTGATGTAAATACTTATGTGAAAACATACTCACAGTCACGCGACATGCTGTAGATTCAGAAGTTATGACGGGTATTTTTATTTTAAATCCAGACTCCAGAATTTCTAAATGCACATTAATTTAAAACATTTGAAATACATCCAATGGGTCCAAACTCCAAGGGGCCAATGAATTGTTAATTTATTTAAATAGAAGGCTGTGCATCGGGCATTCGGACCATCGGTCAATGAAAAATTGAGCATTGACCTGATGCCTGTTGGCTGGTGAGTGGGGACTGGTGAGTGGTGCAGAGATGAGTGGTGAGCACTGAGTGGTGAGTTGGTGACCAGTTGCTTTTTATAAAAATAAGAAAGCTCTAAAAATATTTACAAGTGTGGACTGTATAGTGTGGACTGTGCGTCTGTGGCTCAGTGTCCTGACTCCTGAGGCCTGAGCCTGAGGGCTGAGGATTGTGTCTATTTATACGGCAGACTTCAATACGTGCTTCATATCACCAGTGCCAAACAATCCTGCGAGTCGCAAAATTCTCAAACTTCTGGCCCAAAAAATAAAATTAGAAATCCTGCGATCCGCAGGATTGTTTGTGTTATTTTATATTCTGAGCCTAAGCTCATAGAAGGGTTGGATTTACGACCTTGATTCATGTTGCAAGAGGACAAAGTTTTACGTGTTTCATATTTTAAAGAGCCCGCACTGCGAAATACCAACCTATTTTTTGAACAGAAAGGTCCGGCAAAACATTTGTACCAGAACTTGGTACAAATGAAGAATTTGAATAATTTGTGCGATTTTCAACAAAATCTAGACCAATGAATATCGATTTAATGTCTTTCAGAAGAAAATTTAACAACCACTAATATTGCTAGCTCATAGTAGTTGAAAACACAAATTCTATGAATATATTTTTAGAAATAAATATTTTTAATTTTGTCACAATATAATCATTAGTACAATGTTATAAATGAGCTTTGATAGCTATTCATTAACTGATTTTTATTGATCAATATTTATTCTATTTTTACATTTCTGGCTTGTTTTTAAAAAACCCGTTGGTTGACAGGTGACAAATGATACTTATAAAAATAATAGTATATAAATATTTGCAGAAGTAGTAGTAGAAGTCATACTGGTGCAGATGCAGTATAAGTCATATTGCAGCAGTAGTAGTAGAATTCATATTGCACAAGTAGTAGTAGAATTCATATTGCACAAGTAGTAGTAGAATTCATACTGCAAAAGTAGTAGGAGTCAAATCCAGAAGTAGTAGTAGTAAATAGTGTACAAAATTTACATCTCATTCTTGTTTTGATTATAAATGAACACCTTGTTTAGACGAGCGAATGTATACATATACAGTGAATAAAATACAAAACAATGACTGATGATTACCTATCATCGCCTACATTGGCGGACATTGTTGAAGCTATCGATGAATCACGACAACTGATCAGTGATCTAACAAAGGTGGTTGACGATGAAATGCAGGCCAACCCTACGCGTGAAGTGGGAGTAGATGAAGTGGGACAGCTATCGCCGGACGAAGTAGATGTTGTAGTAGACGAAGTAGATGTTGTAGTTGACGAAGTAGATGTTGTAGTTGACGAAGTAGATGTAGTTGACGAAGTAGATAAAGTACAAGCAAAAACCCCTGAGCCCAAACTTAAGTTTAGATGACGAGCAAGGGTTGATGGAGAGCGTACTAGGACTAGCATATATGTACGCAAAAAGCCGGTAGATCTATCAAAAAATGACAATCGATGTTTAGATATGCGAGTAAAGAACATGCTGACTAATCTTGATATTGCACTTACAAGATTCAGCAAAGTAACGCATTTAGAGGGTGCCATAGACACACCGCATAAGAAACATGTGGTGCCAATGTACAACTCTGTGATAGTAGTAGTAGTAGGAGTAGCAGTCTAAGTTGGGCAAATTTTATAGCTCCTACACCTTTACGAGTACACGTTGAAATACCAACAAATAGTTGTGGTAGTAGTGGTAGTAGTTTTAGTCGGATGGATTTTGTAGCTCCTACACCAGCAAGACAAACAACCAATACATCTGCAGCAAATGAGAGCCTCTGCCGCCCATTGGCCCTGACCTCCTTCAGCAATTACAGGAGTCCCACGACTTCCACGGTATCTGGACCCTCCACGAACACCTTGGATCTTTTCTCCAGCATGTTGACTAACCACCGTACCCTCACCCGTCCCTGACACATCAACAGATGTTCCCTATACCCCGGCTAATCATGCTGTTGAAATACTACTTCCAAATATCGGTTCAAACCAAATCATCGCGCTTGTTGGTTCCGACTATGATACTTCCGATCCAGGCCAGCCAACACATACCGAATTGTACTCTGCACTAACATGGCGCAAATGGTCGAAGTGGTAGTAGTAGAACTTCTACTGATGGTGCAAAAGTATTCATATAGGGTTCCCCAGGACAAACTAATGGGTGCCATGGATTGGGTACATTCTAACCTAGAACACCGATCCGGATAACTATGGAACGTGAAAATGGGAGGACATCTGTTCAGAGATTTACCTGTGTTCTTAAGAGGATGGGATAGTCTAAGCCGTCTGTATGAACACTGTAAATGTGCTATCAAGAGCAACATCCAAATATATAGAGATACCTTTAATCTTCTGTTAAATATGCTGACAAGGAGATCACCGTGCCTAGCTGGCTTGTCCTACTACTATACAGGATTTCGTAGAGTAGTAGAATGTATACAAGAAATGCTTAATAGATGATCAGATCGAGTCGATAGTGAGGATAAGAACGTCGAGAAGATTAAGAAGATGAACGATCTCAAAATTATGAGATTGTATTGGATAGCAGTGTGGAATATGTTAAATATACACTCGCAAACCACCAGGAAGAAGAGAGCGACTGCATTAATCATTGCATGGCATATCAATTTTTTAGAGAGTGCACAGGACGGGGACATCAATACACAAATTCTTGCATAGCTTGCAAATTGTACTACGAATTTCCAAGCAAAATCGCTGGATTACTGAAGGACAACTTCAAACAATACTTCCAACTCTAAAGAATTTGTGAGTATGATGGAAGCCTGTAAGCAGCTGAAGATCAAAATTATTACTTTTGCGAGCAACAAAATCCGAGCCGAGATCCCAAAACGGTCGATTCTGAAAGATGCACCAACCGACAACCCTGGCACATTACTTGTAATTACCGATCACAAACAGAAGGTATGCATATATATTTACCTTCCAATCCTACTTCTAGTCCCACACCTGTTTGACTACTTCCACTCCCACAACTTATCGGTCGTGAATTTTGATACTACCCATTGTAATATTCGGTCTGATAAAGACAATTCTAATGCCTTAGAATAAATAAACGCGTAGGTAAATTCTAAATATCGTGTAAATATCGATATAAATAAACGAAATGAGACGTTTAATAAAGTTAGGTTTGCCTCGTGAAAATAGCAATACTCTGAGGGTTTGTGAGGCTGAGACATTGCCTATATATAGTCCTCTCAGTACTGTTTCCGCCGAAGGGATTTTATTTAGTGTTTCGTTGTCGCTCTATTCTGGGGCGAATCCGAGAAACTCATAAAATCCTATCTTTAGAAATAAATAAAAGAAAAATACTCTTGACGTCCTTAGTTATTGTCTTAACCAATAACTTGCCACTATCAAGAATTACTGACTTAGCCTTCATCAGACTGGCACATCTGGCTAGCTTATCGGAGGATCAACTAGTTAACGTTAATTGTCCCTAGAAACCTATATTCGGTTGAGCCATCTCGCTACCAAAGTATTCAGATATAAATAAAATTGGAAAGTAAATAAAGCTCTATTAATAGAACTAGACCAACTCTTTTATGTTTGGTATTTTACTGAGGTCTTTTAATGGCCTCATCCAAATATCTGATATGTTAAATGGAAAAGGTATTAATTAATAAAACCATTAAACCCCATTTTAGGAAACTTAAGTTCCTCGTACTATTAAAAGCACATTTAGGAGACTTAAGTTCCTCGTGCTATTAAGAGTACATTTAGGAAACTTAAGCTCCTCGTACTATTAAGAGTACGTTTATAATTTGCGTTCTGCTTAAGAGTACGTTTATACATAGAGTCTAATGTGGAGGCCCGGCTTATTACACCATCCTATTCATACTCGCATATTCTTCCTATAAAAAAGAATGAAGGGCAAAGTAAGTACTTTGGCAAATCAGGGATGTCTCATCTAGGGTTTATGCTCATGCGGGGTTAATACAAGGTACAAGGTACGAAGATCCGACCAAACACTTACAGACATCGTTTTATTATTATTATATACCAGACGATAACGGAGGGCAAGACGCGCCATTTGTTGTGCTCGCTATTGAAGCACTACTTTACCACGTGCGGAAGACGATGCCCAATATTACCAGTCTGGAGATGCAGTCAGAAAATGCGTCCGCATTTTCCAACTCCCTACATTACACCACTACACCTCAGATGCAACCACCAGATGGGTAAGCTCAAGATGGGAAAACAGCGCTTGACACACATTTTGCGTATGTGAATATCGTGCTACAAAGATTTGTAGAAGGCCACGATGTAAAATCAAACAAAGGTGGTATATGTACGCCTGCTAATATCTATAGAGCCCTATGTGACCAAGAAGGAATAACTGGTAGCTCTGTGGCTATTAGACCGCGAGACAATTCCATCGTGAAGTATGTTGTCCAAACTACTGGAAATACTACCACTGGAGATACTGCCACTGGAGATACTACTAGCACTGGCGATGAGAGGACGTGTGCAGCAGGTACAAAATGTGAAAAGCCTGGTGATTCATTAGTAGTTCCCGAAGGTGGAAAACATACCTGCAAAGGCTGTGCTTGTCCTATTCATGCGATCTGCGGTCACGAAGATCCGAGCTCTGAATATACTACGTCAGCCTTAAGGTTTTGTAACGGTAAAGCTAAGTAATGTATGTCTGAAGTTTATAAGTCGGAACGTGAGATAGAACAAGAAACTGTACTGTATAGAAATATCGGGGGAACTTGTGGAACAACCGGCTGTACACTTTGGAACCACGTTGTCGAAACATAACAGCTACAAATCTCAGATGGAGAGTGCTATGCGAAAGACTCGCGTTCATGACATTGAATGGGATGGATTCCGACATGTACAACTATCGGAACAAAGCGGGGTATGTAAAGTTCAAATAGTAGTAGAAGCAAAAGTGCAAGTAGTATTAGAAGCAAAAGTGCAAGTAGTAGTAGAAGCAAAAGTGCAAGTAGTAGTAGAAGTAAAAGTGCAAGTAGTAGTAGAAGTAAAAGTGCAAGTAGTTTTAGAAGTAAAAGTACAAGTAGTAGAACAAGTAACGAAAATGGTAGGCAAAAATACTACCCATATTGCTATTTACTGCTGAATACTACCCGTTTTGAATGAAATATACTACTACTATGTATGTTCATTTATTGCTCTCTTTTTAAAAAAAGCTTTGATAAGTATATAGTATGTTATCAGAATCACTTGGGTCACGACTACTGTATCGTTCATTCGATTCACTGCGTTCGCGATCACTTAGTTCATCACATAGACTGATTTTATCGTCAACCGGATGTGCTGCTTCATCGTCAACCGGATTTACTGCTTCATCTTTAACCGGATGTGCTGCTTCATCTTCAAACGTATGCGCTGCTTCATTTTCAGCCTTGCTAATGAGGGTAAACTCGCCAGTGTCTTGATCATAAAAGCCATGTTTCCAAATTTCAGGCACATGAACTAGGATTGGTTCAGTAGTATCAGCACTGCTAGTAGTATCACGATTCCCACTGTTCGCAGCACTGCTAGTACAACGATTACCACTACTAGCCGGACGCTTTCTTTTCCGAGTCTTCGGCGTAGTATGCGTAGTATGCGTAGTAGACATAGTAGGTGCACTTGGTATGACTACCTGTCGGTGAGACTGCGCACTACTGCCAGTAGCAGCAGTAGTAGCACTGTGCGGAGTAGTATTTGTATTCCGAGTTCTATCGCTTGTCCGAAGTATAACAGGTGGAGGCAATGGTGGTCCCGTTAAACCTGTCTGTGTACGAGACTGCGCACTACCAGCAGTAGTAGCACTGTGCGGAGTAGTACGAGCACTACGAGCACTACGAGTCCCACGACGTGTCGATATCTCAGAGCTGTTATTGTCTGGTGTCAAGACTGCCTGTGTAGGTTGACTATGTCTCGGAGGGTGCTGGGCAGCAGAAATGGTAGCACTGTGCGCGGTAGTATAAGTAGTAGCAGCAGTAGTAGGGGCATTGGGTGATGATGTTGGCGATTGTGAGGGTGAGCCGGATATTGGTGTCTCTTGGTTTAATATAGGACGCCCCACTATACCTCCGGTAACAACCTCGAAGCTCTCAACCGTATTATAATGTATGGTGTAAGTTGGTGACAACAAAACCATCGTTCGCATCCTGGTATGATTGCTCCTCGCACCGGGACATATACAACCGCGGCGTTGCGGTTCGACCATTGTTCGTTCTTAAACGGCCAAATTCGTACGGTCGTTCACGACTACCGTCTCCTCCCGGAGATATGTTGAAGTCCTCTTTGCGGAAATGGATACAGCATACATGGGGATTTTTGACGCTCCTGAGATATGACCCTATTCAATGAGTCTCTATGTGGCGCAGTTTAAACTGCACCAGTCTGTTTCTGAAGAACTCGCCATGCTTCATGTACACAGCGTCGGCTACAACAAAGCATTTACATACACTACAGGTGTCCAGCATATTGTATTTTTGGTTGTTTTTAAAAAAGCTACAGTAATTTTATAAACAAATGTCAGAGTGGTTGGAATTGTCAAACATCTATGTATATATATACTGTAAATTATTATACATAATAGTAGTAGTAGTACCAGGTGTAATAGAAGCGTTGGGAGTAGCGCTAGTTTGACACTACAATATCGTTGGATGTGGTAGGAGTAGTAGTATAATACATAGCTGGCCTTCGACAGAAGGTGGTAGGAGTAGCGCTAGTTTGACACCACAATATCGTTGGATGTGGTAGGAGTAGTAGTATAATAAGTAGCTGGCCTTCTACAGGTGGTAGGAGTAGCGCTAGTTTGACACCATAATATCATTATGTGTCGTAGGAGTAGTAGTACAATATTTGCATAGCTGGCCTTCTACAGAATCAAGTACTGAAAAATATATAATTGCAGATGTAGAATTGCTTGGAGTAGCGCGAAATTGAATTGACACCACAATATCATTATGTGCCGTAGGATTAGTTAGCTGCCCTGAGGATCATGTTGAGACTCGTGTGTATAAGTTTATATTTATATATATATACACATATTTATTTAGTGCTGTAACCCTAAAAAAAACAAGCCCTGAAGATTTGAGCCTCCGATAAGAAAGTTTACTACCATTCAGAAAAAGTTTGCTACCATTTAGAAAAAGTTTGCAACCTCACGTAAAAAGTTTGCTACCATTCATAATTTTTTTTGCAACCTCAAGTAAAAATGCTACCATTCAGAAAAAGTTTGCAACCTAAAGTAAAAAGGTTGCTACCCCGAGTTTACAACACCATAATGTATTAAATTTTAAAACGACTACCTCAAAGTGTTGGTAGAAATATAAGTGCAAGTAGGAAATCTAAATAAACGACAGGTTCTTTATTATTTTAAATTTTTTTGAGCAAATTTAAATAATTGCCAACCGACAGTTCTCGCTCGTGTTATATTTATTGAAATATTTAGTAGTAAATAGTAGTAGTAGTAAAAAGTAGTAAATATATTGCAGGGTAGTAGAAGTAGTACATTGCGCACTATGCACAGAAGGCGTGTTCATCTATCGACCATTCCAAGCATAGTATCGTGCGTATCTTGCTTGTCAGCCATGTTTTCATGATAGTTTGGGTTGAAAAACGATGAAGCTCGTCATAGCTATCGTTGTAAGCATCGTTGGTGCACTTGTCGAGTAGATCGGCTCGAAGGTCCTTCGGAGTCGGTGAGTTTGGTAAGTTTAAGTTATGCCGCTTAAGATTTTGCAGTACTTGCGCGTCAGACATACTGTTCACCATGTACTGTAACCCAATTCCCAATTCCGCTTCTATATGTCGATTTGCCGATTCATTGGTCTCGGCTTCATTGAGTGAACTTTCAATGTGACAATTTCTAGTGTCAAAGGGATTCTCTTCGCCATCCCAATCGTAACAATTGTCACATTCTTCAGATGTATAGTTATGCTGACCATCTCCAACTTGATATTCATACTCTTCTACTTTTTCTACTTCGGCAGCATCGTCAACATTGGGCACTGGATTGCCAACATATGGTCTATCGGCTTCTACCCTCACAACATCTCCTACTTCTGCATCGGTAAGTCTATCTTGCTGACTCTGCCAGTACATGATTTTATCTACAAATTTTTGTTTGTTGGTAGTACGATCGTAACATATTTTACGTTTGCGCCATTAGCTTGAGATCGTTCTTTCTTCTTCTTCGTAATTCAGACTTGGTATATTCCTCCTTGTCTTCC